AGAGAGAGAGAGAGAGAGAGTTGTCATTTCGTGTCGTTTTGATGCGAGTTGCTATGGGAATTGTCGTGGGGTTGGATCGTGGGGTGAGGGGTGTAAGGAATATGAACGAGAGCAATAGACAGAAATCCAAGTTGCAAAATCACGAAGTAGTGCAGATGTACCAAGCAGAGAGCACAATGCACCAAGATTCCATCCACGTAAGAGCAAGACAAAGAACTCAAATGTCAATGTGGACTCTCCTGGTCACACCAACACTGTATCCAATGTCGCACTTACTGTCTGGCGCTCAGCGCCCAGCCTACTCCACTCACCCTATCTATCCTAACTACGTTCAAGCGACTGGATCACACCGAAGTCGAAGACCACCTTCATACCAATGCTGACCACCAGCATACACCAGGTACGTTCTCTCTTCTCCCCTCATCAGAATTTGACCACCCACTTATGCGCCCCCTACCCGAAGACCACCTTCGCCATCACGTGCTCCGCGCCCCTGTTGCCCGGCTATGGCTGCTGTGCGCCCCGCTGCCCTTGCAGTGCCCTTCAGCATGCTCACGCAGACACTAGCGCAGCAGCGTGTCCGCATTGCCTGCCAAGGCCAGAATGCCCTCGTCTGGGCTGGCCTCTTTCCTTTTTGGAAAGTGCAGCCCCTGCTGTGTCTGCGTGGGCCTGGCTGTGGAGGTTTCCAGAAGCTTCCAGTCGGGGCCCAGTGTCCGCTTATAGGCCCACTTCTACAGTTAAGGGCCTGGGCCCTTTCCGGTTGGGCACGTAGAGGTAGCTCTCCTGGCTTCATGTGTTTGCCGCTTTCTCTTTGGCTCGCCGCAGTTGTGTGACGTCAATACTATTTTCTCATTCGTCCGCGGCCGCTGCGTCATGTGTCGGCCTCACACTGCGTGTGCCCAGGGCACAACCACCCGTCCCTGGGCTCAACTGTATACCGCATCCCTTGTTTCTGGATAGAGCCTGGAGGCTCACGTTTCCTTGTAACCAACTGGCGTGCTGCAATTGTCTGAGTACCCACATATGGAAAAATGTCGAAAATAGGCCTGTTGTGGATATTCAAGCCCGCCTTCACTTAGGGTGGGCACATGTCTTGCTGGGGCCCTCATCCGAGAACACTTGCATGTCTGTTGGGGCCCCGTGAGTGCTCAGTCCTTGCAGATGGGGTGCGAAGGACAGGCGGTCGCGATCGCGTGGCAATGAGAAAGGTTGTCATGGGTGTTTCAGATTTAAGAATTAGGAAGGAAAAAAGAGTATAAAAGGACATAGGTAGTTGGTGGATTGTTGTCGTGTCCACACAGATTGATAAGGGTATTATTATCAGATAGGACTGGGGGTTGCGGTAGGGGTACGGTGGGGGGTTGTGGATGGGAGATGGACGACATTTCCTGGACGGTGACAGATATTGTAGATGCCCGAATGAGGTGGGTACGACATATTGCGCACGTGGATCGTAGTGGTTGAGGGGCTGGGGTATAGACACGTCTGTGGGAAGATTTGTCTTTTTTTTAGTGCGAGTAGAGATTTCTGATGACGGCATGTGATTTTTGCTTGGTGACGTTTGAAATGAGTGCTTAAATGTCAGATGTCAGGGGAAATGTCAGGGAACATAATGTGAATGGGAGAGGAGTGTTCTCTTTTTGCGTTTTTTCTCTTTCTTTTTCTTTTTCAATAACATCGCTTTTTTTCTCATCGGATATTGAGGTTCACAGTTGGATTGGGTCGATGGCTTGGAATACTGTGGGACGAAGTAGATGGACGAGTTGGTGGAAAATGAGTGGTGGCGATGCAGTGCCGACAGAGGGGGGAGAGAGAGAGAGAGAGAGAGAGAGAGAGAGAGAGAGAGAGAGAGAGAGAGAGAGAGAGAGAGAGAGAGAGAGAGAGAGAGGAATCTGCGGGCGGTGGGGGTTGAGACATGCCGTCGTGCGGTGTTTTGGGTGTTGTGCCTTTGTTGAGACTGGTGCTGCATGGTTGGGAGATCGATGTTTCGAGGGTCCTTCGATTTTCATGGTCGGTTCTAGTGGTGGAGAGCCCGTGACCCACAGTGCTGGTGGAGGTCATACGTGCTGATTAATATGATGTTGGGTTATTTCTTTGTTGGGTGATGATGAGTTGAGGTTTGGATCCTTAGGTGTTGGGTGTTGGTAATGTCTGTCACATGCATGTGATGTGAAATGTGAGGTGAAATGTGAGGTGAAATGTGGTGAATATCTACTGCATCACCTGACGTTTTTTTTATTTTATTTTATTTACGGACGGTGATAACTGATTGGGTGGTACCTTGGACTAGTGGTGGACGGTCTAGATCGACCTGGTGTGGGGACATATGCAGTGAGGATGCAGTCACAGAGAGAGAGGGAGAGAGAGAGGAGGTAGGGAGGCGGTAGGACAGATGGGACACGGGGGTTGAGTGTTCGGGTGTTGTTGCATTGAGTCAGCACCGGATGTGAAGGTACACAGCAATCAGCAGGCTGCGGTCCACAGTATGCAACGATCCTAACTTAAGATTTTGCAGCAATCGGGGGGTGTAAATTGCGATGCCCAGAAGCAGCAGTAGCGTCACAGCAGCAACAAACCATTAGCAGCAGCGATGACTACAACAAAAAAAGCACTAAGATCGCTCCACTACTCATCAAACGTGCAAATTAGAAATGAATCTTTCACTAGATCATGGGCGAATGCGTAAACCGTTTGCTTTCCTTCTCCCGCCGGTGCTTCCCCCCTCTTCATCGTGCATCTCCGTCTCCCTTCCTTATCTGCCTCCTATGTCTCACTATTAACGTCCGCCTTCGTTTTCGTGTCTTGAAACTCAGTTTCCCTGATTCCATATGTAGTTCCGAAGGCTGCACAGTGCCGGGAAGTAGGGCCAGTCTCACTCTACTATCGGACTGCCGGGCTCATATAGATGAGCCCGGTCAAATCCCATTGGCTTGAGCCCTGCTGTACGACCCTGGCAAAAGCAAGGCAATGAACCTTTCGCTAGAGGGTGGCTAGGTACACCCGAAAGATTAGCGTAATGACCGTAAAAAAAAACAAGTGTCAGTGGTGGAACACGACGGTCAAGTAGGACACAACAATGGCGACTAACACAAAGAGCACAGTCGGTAGAGCGAACACGAGCTTGATGCGGACGAGTACTGAGCCAAGCAGCACGACCTCAAGGGTAACAATTACGACGATAAGCCGGGGCACACAATGGTGCGCCACGGTCCGTTGCTCACCAAATGTGCAAAATGAGAAGGAATCTTCCCCTTGGATGCAGCCAAGTGCATTGGCATGCAGGGAGCTGTGCGAAATGCAAGCACTACCACAATCAACTGCGACGAAGAGAACGACTCCACACAACACCGCAACGGATAGCGTGATCTACTGGATGCAGACAACGACAATCACAATGACCGCAGTAAGAGCCAAAGTTGGATTCAGAATAATGGCCACGAGCAGCAGCGCCTCATTAAGACTAAAATCAGGGTAGTGATCACCCCAATGAGCATGGTCGGGATTGCTAGCACCTCTTCGAGCAGTAGGATGATATCGATGGAGAAGATCCCGACGACAACAGGACGATGAGCAGGCTTGCACGGCTATTGGGCTTCGTTCCACTGCTCACAAGTGCAAAATGAGAATGAATCTTGCACTAAAATGTGGGAAGATACATTGCTATATTCACCTT